TTGAAATGCTCCCAAAAATGGCTCCACAGCATGTAAAAATATAATATAAGCTCTGGTGGACTTGGTTCTCTGGTAGGTCTTAAAGGGTTAAAATACAAACACCTATAATAATCTCTTACTCTCCCTTGGTTCCCCTTCTTCAGTCCAGTACCTGAGGGTCGCCTTGTCGAGGGTTCTGAGTTCACGAATGAGCAAGACTCTACCAAGTTGGTCTCCACAGTCAATGGAAAATCCAACCAATGGAGCTTTGAGGAGCTCATTGACCTCAACGTCCACTCCAAGTCTCGACCCCTCCTTGAGGCGGGGGGCTGTAACAATGTCTTGAACAATTGTGACGGGAGCTCAGATGGAACCAGAGTAGCCTTTGAAGACAATGAAACCCCCATCAGCACGCTGCATTCCTCCAGTCAACCCATAGAAGCCCTGCCAGGTGAGCTGTCAGTCGCCGATGACTCCGATGCTGCCATCGTCTAACTTAACAACTGACAAGAACTCTCATGTTTTATGTCCCTCTAGAGATTTGACGTCTGCGGCGTCGCTGAGAAGCCTCTTACTGTTGCACTCCTAAAGTTCCTGTCCAGTTGACCTCCTTAAAAATTCTGTCAATTCCAAGCAGCTTTCTCCCCTTTCTCCTCCTTTTCCAGAGGGAGGAGCACAAGGTGAAGTGGAAAGACCACCCAAGTGCTACGTTTGCACCCTACATGATGAGGAAACTATGTATTGAAAGTATATATTAATAATTGTGCTTCAGGGAAATGCTGTCTATTCCTTCCACATGCTCACCCTGGGTCTTTTTCCTCTTCCTCTTGTGGTTTTTAGTTCTCCAGATTTTTTTTTTTTCTCAATTTTGTGTCCAGTTTTGATGATTTTTTTTTTTTTTAAAGTGTTTGCTTTTGTCAGGGGTGCGTTGTTATAATTTATTAATTTTGGCTTCTTTGATATTGTAATTATTGTTATCAAATGTTTAGTCTTTTTTTTTCTTCTTGTGAGAATATTCCAGGACACATGCACAATAGATTTTGTGAATTATTCTTAATTAATGGAAGAAATTGTTATACGTTCTGTTTTGTTGGGGTTTGGTGGAGGTGGCATCACAGGTTCTCCATGTGACTGATCTAAATTTACTTGACAGTCTACTTTTTGCAGCAACATGGCCTTACAATTTTTTTCCCTACTTTCTAATTTTTTAAAACAATTTTTTTTTTCATGCACGCACAGTTTAGCAATCCCTGCTAACCTCGGGATTGCCTGTGTTAATACATTACTTGACTGGGCTTTTGTCATTTCATCCTCCTCCTTTGATTCCCTCCCTTTCCTTCTTTGGCCACTAGAGGGCTTCAGCAGCATAGCAGTTGCATTTGAAGGCGAACCATGTGTAGTTCCACATGTTCAGTAAACTTTTTGCACTTGTTTGAAGCTCACGGTTGGTTTAGGTTTTCCTTTTTTTTTTTTTTTGCATCTGTATATAGAATACAAGTTTACTAATATTGTACTTTACAAGAGCTCTAGCTGGGTCCGGTTTTAGTGTCATTTGTGGCGACTCCTCCAACTGTTTGTCATAACACAGAGGTGAAATCCTGTAGTTTATTTTTAGCTGCTTCTGAGCTTCTTGACATGGTGTTTGTTACTAAACTGAACTTGTGCTGAAACTAGGAATCAGGCTTTCAATGATCCGAGCTTTAGTTCCCGCTTTGTGATTCATTCTTCTGTGTGCTTCATCATCAGTTCCACTTCTTTCCAACTAACCACCATCTAAATATCCTGTCAAACTAGCTGCTACATATGACAAAATGCATTTCAACTATTTTTGTAGTATACAATTTTGGCTGTTGGTTTATATATGAAAATGCATTTCTACATATATTTAAGTGTTATTATATTGTGTAAATAATCAGTATTAGGCAAATGAAGCCATGTTCAGGATGGAGTGGCTCAGGTTGTGGAGAATTCAAGAGTCTGTGTAAATGAATATTCGGTTTCAGTTTGACTGGTGCCGTGTGACAGGGTTGCCAGGTTCTGTTTGGCCCACCTGGCGACCCTTACGTCCCCTTTCACAAGAGCTCAACAAAACTGGGTGGCAATCTACTTTGTTTCCTAAGTTTCAGCTCTGTATCTGCAAGCGCTAATTCTAAATTTTGCCTAAAAAAAAGACTAAACCAGTTGAGATTTGGATGACAGAGAGCCATTTTTGTCCTTACAAACACATCGAAACCCATGATATGAGTCATAGATGTGCCTCTCAGTGCTTTTAATGTCATCAAAATGCAATTAATGTCACGCAAAAGGACGTAGGGGTGTTGATTGGTGGTTGCAGGTGCGTCTGCTCAGGATTCAATTGTTCTACTGTAGAATAAGGAGGGCACTTCCACCCGACAAAAGCTGACGTGGGTCAGGCTGGTTTTCTGGTTCTTTGTTATTCATGAAATGTTGAATTTCTTGATGCTTGAAAAGTCCAAGCACGAGGTTTGAGACCTTGAACTTTTGCCTTTTTCTCTGCTGGCTTACTAAACTCTCTCTGTACATATAAGGAGTCTGAGCTTTTTTAGCTTTTCAGCTTTGATTAATAAGCTCAAAGAATGTAACAGACTCCATAAACCGTCCCGCAATATTTACCACGTCTCTGAGCTTACGCGCTTTTAGCCATCTTGTGTTATTCTTCTAGGAAGCATGAGACTTTTTGCACTGTCACAAGTTACCCTTCTTTAAACAAAGCACGTATCTGAGGACTTTACACAGCTCCCCCAGGAGTCTGTAAACTTTCATAAAGAAAAAGTCGTTTATGTAGTTCTGTCACTTATTCCCATCCAGATGTTTTAGTCTCATTCGTAACCTGAGCCTTAGATCTTTCATACTCCGCTTTGCTTTCCTGAATACGCCTGTCTAAGGAGTGGTCGTAGTTGCTGCTTGAACACATACGGTGTCTGCATGTTACAGGGTATGGATGCAGAGCTCACAGCACGTAGTCATCATCATCTATAATGTTAGGTTAGAACGGTGCCTTAGATTAAGATTTAGTGTGGGTTGTTGGTTTTGTTTTTTTTATTGTTTCACAGTCAACTAAGAAAGCTTCTCCTTACCTCGGCCTCGACAATCATTCTACTCAACAAGGGCAACTTTGTGAATATGAATATTTCTCTAGACGTTTTACTAACAATGCCCTGTCCACATATTACATTTGTACTGTAAATATATCTAAAGTTTACTGAGATACTGACTGTTAAAACAATAAAGCCTTGAAAAAATACGTTTCCATTTCTTGCTGTGAAGAGGAAAAATGGGGCTTCATATCAGTTTGTTTTTATTCATGTTTTGCATTTAATGTCACTCATTAAGAATACATGAGCACTTTATATTTCAGTATGGGTTCATCTAAACAGTTTTCTCATTTTCTATCTGTGCATTCAGAGATGTAACAGATTATTAATCAAAGCTGGTGTGTATTAGCAGCAGGAAGCATATTAAAAGCATTTTTTCCCCCAAAAAGATTCCAGTAAGCCACTGAAAAGACTTTTGTCTCAATAGGCTCTACAAAATCCTGTATTAGATATATAGTGCACATCACAAACCCACAAAGAAAATACATCATGTTAGTATCCAATCCCTGACTCTGAAACAAGCTGCAGTTATGTTTATATAGATAAATGAAAGTTAATTGACAGCCTGTAGTTTGGCAACCTTGCAAAAAGTCAGTTTAGGTGTTAACTCCACATCATCAAACTCTCAGATGCACAACAGTTTGCACATTTTACAGCTTCTTAGCACAGTCGGGGCAATAAATGTGCTCTCCGTTGATGACAAAGCGCTTGTTGGCCAAGGAGAGGGAGCACTTCTTGCAATTGAAGCAGTACTCGTGCCAGGAGAATCCCTCATAGTTGACCACATTGGTGCCGTGGCCAAACCCTGCACAGAGACACATGAGGGTGTTTTTTTTATACAAAAAAAAAAGGATGTTAACATAAAAGCATAAAGGCCAAAACATGTAATACATGATCTTACCGTTTGAGACCAAAACAACATGTAAGAGCTGAAGGATTAAATTTAAAAGGGGAAATTGCGTAAGGAGGGAAAAGCTCCCTATCATTGGCACTAATCTCCATTTAAATCCAAGTGCTTATTCATTCATTAGTCGTTTATTATGCCTGTCATAAGACAAATTTTAATATTTTTGATTGTTCAGCTGACCTGCTGTGCTGCCTGAACAAATTGAAGTTGTGCTGAAAGTTAATTGGAAGTAATTTAAATGGTTGTCTGCCAGAGATGAAAACAAAGTGTTGCCCTTTTCTTGCTCTCAGATACAAAAATGTCTAACTTTATAACACAGTGCTTCTAAACCTTCCTCCGAACAACGTTGGTCTTAAATCAGTGAGAAACAACATGAAAGTACGCAAAATATTTTTATAATATTTTTTAAAAATGAATCCCAGTGCACATTATGTAGACCTTTAAGACAACAAAACAAAAGACAAATGATGATGCTTCCCTGACCTGTTATTGGGTTCTTGCAGCCGTGGCACTTCTTGGCCACATCAGTCTTGTAGCAGTCCACGCAGTAAATGTTGTCCTCATGAGAAGTGAAGCGAGTTCCTGCCAGAGATTTATGGCAGGTTTTGCACACGAAACACTCGGAGTGCCACGGCTGGTCCTGGTAGCTGATCCCTCCAGAGGTGATGGGCTTGGAAAGGCAGATATTTTGATTGTGATGTCAAACACAACGGGATGATAACTAAATGTAGAGAATGATAAAGTCTGTGCTTGTACCTGCTTGCAGTGGAAGCATTTCTTGGCAAACTTCTTTTCGTGGCAGGGAGAGCAGTAGATGTCCTCACCCTTGGCCAGGAAACTCTGTGTGCGGATTGGCTGCTTGCACTCAATGCAGGTGAAGCATTCCTCATGCCACACCTTGTTCTTGTACTCCACGTTCTGAGATCCTGAGTAACAAGATGATTAAAAACAAATTATCTGGGCTGAAAATTTGCTTAGTCTATAA